GAGCGTGTTTCCAATTAATGATTTGTTTTTCCAATGCACGCTGCACACTTTAAATAGTCTTTAGATAAAACTACTACATATTCTATATATAATACGGTTATGCTTACTAATTTCCTATGCCGAAGCAGTTCGAATAAATATTTGAGTCGACACGCAAGCAAAACTTTCTGCCCCGTAGCAAAACGTAACATATTCTAGCAGTGTTATAGCACATACATCAAAGTCAGATCATAAATTATCACTAAACGCATTACAACTTCGGACGTCCGAAATCATTTTCAAAAGTTCCACAAAACAGAGCCTAAGCAAGTCGACCAACGGATTTACAACCACAGTCTGAGAAATCAGTGAAAACATTAAATATTTGTGACAAACAAATATTATACACATTACGCATATTTCACTTGCTTATATTAAAAAATGAAAGTTTAATTGAGGTATTTTGTAGTTATAATATTGTTTGGACAAAATAAATGCAATGATAATGGATTTAATAAATGAAACCTATGAGAAATCCATATTGACCGTTCTCTTTTATAATATAGACTTCTACTATAAACCGGTCCTGAATAATAACACATCATAACTGTATTCTGTACCTACACAGGAGGTACCTGCACAGCATATAAGGTTGAATATTTTTGCTCAAAAATTTAAAAAAATGAAAAATTGTTCCGAACTTAATTCTTGCTATAATTGGCCAATCTTAATTATGGATTTTGTCAAAATTTAAAAAGACAGGCTGGGTAGTACAAAACTTCATTGTTTCCATAAACGGTGTTGGAGCAAATCTTGACTAGATTAATGATATATGAAATAAAGTGTTGCGCAACCCAGCATAATTATAATAAACAATATTACGTGTTTTACCTTGTTCTAAGAAATATTTTTTATTTACAAAGATCACACATGAGAAGATTAATATTATTAAAATAATTACCCATTTGCTTATTTTGATGAAACGAAAACAAAAATAATTTGTTTATAAATTATTTTTATTCTATATCAATGTATTATTAAAACAAATTTTGAACTATTAATCAATTGAGAATAATAGATTATCCAAACTATAAACAAAAATATCATTACTATAGTAAAAGTCAATTGAAATATTTGTTCACTTATAAGTATTTAAGTAAGGATGGATTTTTTTAGTCATACTTTTAAAAAAACCATTCAAGAAATGGCAAAAAAAAAATGCATTTTTTAAATAATTGTAAATACTAGTACCTTTTATCCACTTATTTCGATCTCCTTCGGTATTCGACCAATGATAAGGTGTTCTGGTGTTCATTATGAAAATTCATTTGTTTTTTAAAATTTACAACAATGGCAATACTAGAACTCGCACTTCTGTTTGATATTAGAGCCAAACAATAACAATGTTATACGTAGGGGGACTCTGCCCACGTGGGACATACCGTTGGCGAAAATCATCAATTAATTACCAACACATCACCTCAGGCCGACCACCGCAGTGATTAATCCTGATGGTTGCGAAAACGAACGGGTTTACCATAAATAATTATTAGTTTTAATACTCAGAAAAAGGCATATCATCTCGTTTGATCGTCGCGCACAATACCTAATCGTTAACCATACGAAACGCCCGTCGACGCGCTACTAGCAAATATTTATCCTTTCCTACAGCAACAGCAGCTCATACATGTTTAACTATAATAAGGCCGTTACAATAACAGTATGATAAGAAACGACTCAATGCCATTTGGTGGCCTGTATGTGTATACACTATACAACGACGAGTCATTAACGACAATATTATATAATATATTATTTTTTACAATGGCGTAACCCGCAGCGCGCGAAAACACACGTTTTAAAGTAGGTACAAGCGCTTTTTTTTTTTATTATCAACGGTAATGCTTAATTAGCAACGGTAATAATATACTAATAATAAGAAGAAGAAATAAAACACACAGATTTCTCTATACTGCAAGGATGCCCCAGAGCGATACAGGTCTTCGCCGGAGATCGACGTCGTACTATGATTAAAAACATACCAATAATATTGTACCGGAAGCGAGCACATGGGAGTTGTCTACTTCACTGAAAATTATAATCGAAACGGTTTTTCGCAGCATACTTTCTTTCCCGTCTAAATCTTATTTGGTACTGGACCGTTGGCGTGCTGAACTACTCGATGATTATATTATTAGTATTACATAAACAAACCTAACCGACAAAGACAAGAAATGAAAGAAGAAAACCTTGGAGTGGCTTGTGACATGGCGTTTACACGGATCGCCACTGTTGAATAAAAATATTATTATGATTGAGATAACATTTTAAAAATATTCCAATACTGGAAATTAGCAAAAGGTTATACACAATAATAATAAAAATAGTAATATTTGTATAAATTAAAACAGCAACTGGCGGATGACATTTTACATGTAAATAAACATTTCACCGGTATTGTCATTGTGCAATACTTACACTATTATACTTATGAGCGGTTCGAAAACATAATTTGTACAAAAACAAACACTATATCAAAGCATGACGTGTGTCTGATCATCCATTCACCGTGTACAGTTTAAATTCTAATCACGTACGATTAAAAATTGTCCACTTACATAATGTAATCATCGTTAACAAACGTGTCATAATTAAACATAATATTACCTTATTAGTCAGGGTGCCGCTATACACCGGATAATAGTTTTCTTTGGAAATCTAATAAAAATCGGTGAACTCAAATGAACACAATAAAGCAATGGGACAAAAGACCTACTCAAAACGCGGTAGATCATTCTTAAAACGTTACGACTTATGAGTTATACAAATTTCAAAACGAACCGATACGGTTGTAAACAAATATCAGTGCAAATTTACCAGCTAACGAAAACTATCTTACATAAACTTAAGTAGAAATTTCACTTTTAAGGGCACGCGTTGGTTCTCAAAATGGCTCTGTTTAACACAATACCGTAACACATAACAAAATGCATAGTCTTTATTAAATTTATCCGCCAATATGATCTCAGAATTCCTCTAGAACGTCGATTTATTTTTCAAAACTCCTCCAAATGTTGTTGACTTAAAAAACAAAAATTCTAATTTTCTTATTACTTACAAACAATTTAAATCATAAGCTAAAATATTCTGGACCAGAGTAAAAAAATATATTTTATCGAGTTTATCTTGACTGTAGAAAAGTAGTATTCAAATGAACACAACCTTTTAAAGCCAAAGTCCCCTCTGTTGGGCTAATTAAAAGTGAGGAACGCGTTGCCAACAACCCCGTCTGAGTTTCCGGTCGGCGACGAGTTACACCAGACGTGTAATTACTTCCATGAACATACTCAAACAAGCGTTATCTATCTCTGCTATGAAATATACGGCGAAGGATAACACACAATTTTATTTACTGCGCTCACACTAGCTACTTATAGGTTACCTCGTCTTCATCAATCCATCGTGCTCGCCACACTTCGTCATACTGTAATTATACTCTGACTCAACTCTGTCCCTGTAGTATTAGGCATTTATAATATCGTACGGGTTTTAGAACAATAAATTATCCCATCTCAGACAAGAGTGTCCCGTAAGACGTACAAAGTGTAGGGTGAGGATGAGAAAATATTAAAACTAAGCCTAGTATCGTAGCCAGGAAATAATTATTTTAGGAGGGCAATAAAATGTATCCTTAATATATTAGGGAGTGTATCGTTCACTTGAGTTTTATTTTTAAATAACCAAATTTTTCACATTGGAATTAAGGAGGTCTATTGGTCAAAATATGAGTTAAGGAGAAGTAACGGAAATAACTATTGATTACGAGGCAATATTTAAATATATTTTGATCTAGGCGCCATTATAAATGTCAACAAATTAAAGGGTAAATTAATATAAAGTTTATCTCTTTACATAACTTTTAGGTATATTTCTCCGATTTATGATGAACGTTTTATAAAAATAAATGCCTTTTTTACTTTAGTACAAGTCAAGTAGATTTTTACGGAAAGCTACTACTTCCTTTAACTATAATGGTTAAGAAGCAAATTTTCGACTCAGGTATTAGAAAATAGTTAGATTTATTAGAAAAACAAAACATATAACCGCTTAAAAACAATTTTAACAACAAAAATAAATACACATCAGTGTCAACCCAATCTTTTCTCAGATTCGCATCGAAGATAAACGCTATTGTATAGCGTGTAAGGTTAAACACCTTTTACCTTAACAAAATTCGAAAAGCGGTGGGTTTTTTTACCTTATATAATCTCTGTATACATTAATTTATTACACTTAACAATATTGTTCTATCACACGTCATAGATAAGCGAAAATCTAAATGAATTTAAAAATGTGAAACTGCATAAGGTTGACTGACTAACTTTAAACGTGTTAGGAATATGGACATCGCGCAGCGTTTGAATGCAATTTAAAATGACATCGACCGGACCACGTGCTCAACAACTATGCAAATATCATGCATGTTGCCATAGCGAGATGGAGTTTTTTTTTTCAATAATGAAAACACTCTAGTCGATTGGTTACGTTCTGAATTTGATTACTGTGTGCGTGTGACGGGGCATTTTTTTTTTTTAAGTGAAAGTCCAGGATTATTATTTTTAGTGCAAAGCGTAGGCCGAGTGCCGTCGTTATCCTTGGGTAAAGTACATACACATACGGACCAATATAAATAATAAAGCTGTTATACGGTAGCTGTGGTCTGGTGAAAACAGTTCCGAGTGTCTACACACAATTTCACGCACACGCCAATAGAGCTTTTATGGCGGTAGGTCTCTTACACGGACTAGATGAACAAATTACTAATTAGACTTGGGAATAAAGTAATAATAACGTTCGACTTTGGCTTAATGCCAAAGCAGCGTGAGCTGCGTGTCATACGACAAATCGTGTCTGCCCGAGATACATCTTCATCGTGATTATATAACGATAATTTATAAGCGCGTTCATACACATTAAAGTTGGTTATGACTTATAAGATTATTATTTTGACGACTCCTTACCTGCGGTTGGTCTTGATGGGTTCATCTTCGTCCAACGAACTGCCGGCTCCGGAATCCTATTAATAAATAAATAAATACAATTTTAGTATTTAAATAATATAGAGAAAAACTAAAATAATAAAGAGCGTACATTTTATTATACAACAAAACATATTATTATTTAGCGTTATCCTGCGGTAATATTGACTCGATGTCGATGTCGTGAAAAACGAAACAAAAAATATATTATAATATATAATAATAAAAATCACCTGACGGCCAACTACACACATGAGAAAAGACAAAAGGGTAAGAGATAGTGTACAAATTAAATAACAAATTACAAATTTTAAAAAAATGTCTGGCTATGTGTTGTATACAATTTCTAATAGGGATTTACCCTCTAATAAAAGTAACAAAAAACGAATGTATTCAGCTAACGCGATACCGCACTGCACTGCAAAATAAAGCGCATTGTGCGTCGTACAACCTTTTTTAAAAAATCATTTCCGTACAAACCAATGACCAATAAGAACGACTGGTCGTAAATGGTAATTACCGCGTTTGTCTCTATAAGGTAATATCCAGTATTGCCGACAATGGTATTCACCGAAAACACTTGCTTCGTTTGGCAACAAATCAAAAAATATAACTAATACAACACCAAAAGCGGTAAACAGTAAACACAAATATTTAAATTACTTGTCTCAAAAAGTTTTAAAGCAAAATTAAAAAAAAAACATTTTTCGATACTATACATGTACTATTTTTTTTATAATAAAACAAAGCATTAACAACTATTATAATAATGTTATTATTATAGATATTTATCAATTTCCATCTAGATGAGCATCTTAGATTTGTTGTACTCGAAAGTCAAGAAGTGTAAACGTGTGTTTTAGGTACTCTACTTTTGAAAATGTTGCCAACCACTACATAAAATATAATTAAGGCTTTGTTTTTGCTGTGAAGAGAGCAAGTTCACCATTTGTAGATGATGCATTTTTCTACCTATAATTGTTTTACAATTGTTCTTAAATTTTTAATGGTGGTAGGGAAAAAAACTAATGAACATCGCATATAAAAAAACTTTCATTTTGCTTTTCTAAAAAATTGCATAAAACATTTTTTTCATGTGTTTATTATTAAATTTGAAAGAAATTAAAAAACCACAGACTTTAAAAACTCGTATGATATTACACCTATTGTATCGTTTTGGTTTTCGAGTAGGTACTGATTATCATCATCATTATTATAATTACTATCCGGAACCACACAGAGATGAATGGGCAAAGAGTAATTATTATAATTGTTATTCTAGGAAGTCGGAATGGTGTCCACAATAAAAAATCAGCAATATGATAAATTGATAGACATACAATCGTACCCATTTTTCATCGGTTATGTTAGGTGTACATGGCGTGCACATTGTGTTTCGACGACAATCAAACTTTAATTTTTATATTATTATTATTATTATTACTGTAATATATGCTATTATATTATTGTATGTGTATGTGTACACGACGACGACAGGCGCACGCGGTTGGGGCCAAGTTCAACGCACTGCCAACGACGGCAATCATAGGCGATAGAGTAAAGTATAAAAACATGTACATATTATACGCACTACATATATAATACACATATTGATAGCATCAAATGTATGCCCTGGTGACCCCAACGATTACTGAAAAAACATAACAACGATTAAAGTACCTATAGGGGGTAAAAAGCGGGCTATGACCGGCCGTTTCCAAGCAACTAGACTGCATACACACAAACACGTTGGTTGAATATTAGAACTTAATTAATTTTACTTCTAGACCGTTTTTTTTTTTTTTGTCAAAAGTTGTCGAGCGCAAAAAAATGCACACATTGCCCTGCTGTAGAACATATATATATGATTGATGGACGCGAAGGGTGTGGAGGTACGTTACAAGTGAGGTCAATATTATTGGCAGTCGTCAGTGAACGGTCTCGACCGACTTAACTTAAACACTCGGTCAAAGCAAGAATACAAATAATAATCAACTTGACTCTTAAAAAAAAATTATAAAAAACGTTTTAGTTTACCTATGACGCACCGTTTGGGCGATGGCGGGAAAGGAGGCAGGTAGCAAATTAACTATAATTAGAGAGGTAAACATTTAATATACACCTTTGGGGATTAAACGATACTCTCCAGGCTGTAAGTGACCTACTCCGATGTGTCCTAATGCATTTGTATTAGGTACGTACGAGGTTATGTGTACAATAATAATATCTCGCGAGATAATGTCTTATTGTTTTTATTATTATTATTTACACATTCTCTGCAAATAATAATATTCTAAGTGATAGTATTAATTTAAGAGTTTAGCGTTGCATTAATCGTTTTTGGTCAATTAAAATTATTCAGTTTTGTTAACCTTTTATTACTACCTACGAATGCGATAGTTTTTAAGTTGGCCCATTTTATAGCGGTGTCCAATTGTATGCACATGTAATTATATTATATAGCCACTCATAATACTGCTATTATTAAGGCTATTAACAAGTAAACAAACCGATAGTTTTTTATATTATGATGTTACGGAGTACAAACGTTACATGAATCACCAACGCATTTAATTACACGCAATTCGCTAAAGGCGAACGTTCACAATAAGATGGTAATAATATTTTATTGGTCATCGCATAGACATAGACACGTCGGTCGTGTAAGTATAGGTATTGTTCAAATGCAACTACTTTAACAAAAAAGGGAAAAATAGTACTTAGAATATAAATACGGATTTTATATAAAAGTATCTTAAAATTCAAATCCATATAGAATATAGTAAGTTTTTTTTTACCTAATTATAACATCAACCTGAGAAATAGTAATGAAAATATTACATGGCAATTCATTTTTAAAATTAATAGACTTGTTTGTTCCTTTTTTGAGATAGATACGGTCATAAATAATATCTGGGATAAACAAAAGTGTACGTTAACTATATAATTACATAAACATTATATTTTTATGCTGGGTTGCATACAACTTTATTATGACCATCAGCCTAATTAGAACACTGTGATTGGTCCTAACGCAGTTTATGAAACCAATTATGCATTTTGTAACCCATGAATTTATACTCACCTACCATCGTAACCTATTAGGTTAGGACTTTCTTAAACAAATATAACGACTCAAGAAAAAAATATATCTCTAACGTCGGGATAAAAGTTATCACCCGAGTTTAAATGAGCTTGATCAATCTTCCAAAAATTTAAAGATAGATTTAACGAACAGAGGCGGAATTGTTGGTCTGGGAATGGCCATATTTCACATGGCATGATAGCCGAACTTACTACTGTTCTCAAAATTGTAAATTAATTAGTAAAGTAGTATAAAAATAAATGACTTAAATAAATAATAACACTGAGAAAATACAGGAAAATCGTTAAATCTTTTGTTAATTGATGATGCACCGTTTATTTTATTCTGTTTTATGTCATTCGAATAAATAAGTAAATAAATTATAAATAAATTGATACTTTTTAGTAGTCAGAATTCTAGAAGACAACATTTACTGGGTGGCCTAGATGAATTGCAATCTTGAGACCTGAATTCAATTTCTACTCGGCCCTGCTTGCTGAACATTATAACATATTTTAACCCATAAATGTAAGAGAATTTGTAGCTGAATAACAGTTCATCATTATAATGTCAACTGTAACGTGAAATAATTAATCGTTCTATACGCATCCGTTTTATCTTTTATAGGTGGTCGACCGCACCGAATCGATTCCAAATTTACCGCTTAAACAGTTCTGGATTCAGTTTCCAAAAAAATAAAAGGTTTTCGCTCGTGCGGTTTTCAATGGGGATAAAGGATGAATAAAATATCATATAAAGACCACCAAAATGGTACTGGCGACGGCATGACGTCAATTAATGATTGCGATCGCTTGCCTCAATAAAATCTGAGTCGGTTTTCACCGGATCCGCGTGTGCTTCGAAACGATAACCTGGTTGTCTACACGGAAAGGTCGCACGACGTAATTACTATTAGATTATTAGATACAATGCGAATTGTGCGCGAATGATGACAAATCGTGTGGCCCATCCGGCATCCACCATAAGGAGAAAAGTATGACTTCCAATCCGTTTGGTTTGTACAACACACAAGCGCGGAGGCGGCGCCAGCTGAAGATACGTTAGCACGACACGACACTTTCACTGTCACGACCACAACAATACTTGGCCAATCGCATTTACAATTGTTTTACATCACACGAAGAAAAAGCACGTGTTTGAACTGCACGCGACGATAAATATTATATTATGATGATTAATAACAATATTATCATTTAAACGTTTCGAAAACTTCGGGGTTGTGTGTAGTTCTATAACAGTAGGTGTCGGTTCTAGGTCATGGATATGCGAGAAAGGTTATGTACCTTATGAGCTCGTGCGGTGTCGAACGAGAAAAGCAAAAATTAGGCTAACGTCGCGTCGGTAAAGTAGGCGTATCGTGAACTTCTCCTTCCACCATACAAATGAACAGTTGACTGAAACAACAACTGATTGCCGTTAAAAATGATTGCAAACGATTTTTTTTTTTGTTTGCAATTGAATACGCTTTTGCAGTTGCACACGTTTTTAATTAAGTCTGAAAACATAAGCAATCCAATTTTTAGGTTCTAAACCTAGGGGTTTTCGTCTGCGGTGAATTATATCTAAAACATAATTTTAGATACTACCGACCGACATGATTTTATTGAAAATGTGCTAACGAATGTATACATACAAATTCGTAGTCGAGACATAAACTTACGTATCATTATATAAAAATACGAATTAAAATTATAGATCTTTTGTAAGAAATAATTAACATAGCCGTGTACAAAAATAAATAATACGGCGACCCGTTTTGAGTTTGTTCATAAGAAATTCTACAAAAATAAGTTTTAAACAACTTTAATTTTGGTCATAGTCCTTTGTACATTACACAGCAGATGAGCGACGTAATCAAGGTTTTCAATGGAGTAATGATGGACACGTTTGAAGTGCCAAGACTATTTAGCCCGAAATAGGTTCTAAACCCAA